TATTTGAGTCAGAGTCTTACTCTGTCATCCAGGCTGGAGTGCAGTAGTGGCATGCTCATGGCCACCACAGCCTCGAACTGCTGGGTTCAGGCTATCCTTCCACCTCAGACTTTCAAGTAGCTGGAATTAGAGGCTTGCACCATCACGCCTAGCTAATTTTTTGATTTACTGTAGATACGAGGTCTCGCCAAGATGCCCAGGCTGGTCTCAAACCCCTCACGCAGTCCTCCCGCCTCTGCCTCGCAAAGTGCTGGGATTACATGCATGAGCCACTGTGCCCGGCATTTCATTTCTTTTTATAGTTGAATAATATTACACTGTATAGATATACATTTTGTGTATTATGTTCAGCATGTCCACTTTGTGGTCCAGAAAATTGTATATTTAGAAAAGAGACTGCTAAAAACAGCTCATATAAGCCGGGTGTACTACCATGCCCTGCTAATTTTTTGGTTTATTGTAGTGATGAGGTCTTGCCAAGTTGCCCAGGCAGGTCTTGAACCTGTGGGCTCAGGCGATTCTCTCACCTCAGTCTCCCAAAATGCTGGGATTACAGGCGTGAGCCACACCACTCCCAGCCTACTTTTTATTTTTTGAGTTGGAGTCGTACTCTGTTGCTCAGGCTAGAGTGCAGTGGCACGCTCTTAGCCACCACAGCCTCGACCTGCTGGGCTCCGGCGATCCTTCCACCTCAGCCTTCCAAGTAGCTGGAACTACAGGTGCACGCTACCACACCCAGCTGATTTTTGATTTGTTGTAGAGATGAGGTCTCACCAAGTTGCCCAGGCGGGTCTCCAACCCGCATGCTCAGGCAATCTACTCACCTCAGCCTCCCAAGGCACAGTAATTTTTTTATTTATTATAGAAACACAGTCTCACCAAATTGCCTAGCCTGTTCTCGAACCCCTGGATTCAGGTAATCCTCTTGCCTCCACCTCCCAAAGAGCGTGATCTACTACACCCAGCTAGTTCTTTTCCTCTGGGAGGGAGAAGGCAGAATCATCTGCTGAGGGGAGGGTGGGAAGGAGTTGAGGAAGGAGATGAAAGTTGGGAGGAGTCAGGGAAGAGCTGAGATTCAGCCCTGCTTGTTGTGCAGAGGGGCCATGAGGGGAGCCCACAGCTGCTCTCCACGGCTGTATGGCTGCCCCAACACTCCCAGTTCACTCCAGGAGACACCGGGCTGGCCCCAGGTTGGAGTATGCCTGGGCAGAGTGACTGATATCAGACTATTTGAGCTGGACGTGGAAGCAAGATCTTGCAACAAGGAAGTGAGTGGCCGGGAGGAAGGGGAGGAAGCCATGGTTTTTGCTGGATGCACAGATGAAAGGTAGAAGGGTATGGACAAATACCATGGTTCCCATGGGTGTCTGCGCATTAATGGGGGTGACTCCCTTAGAAATGAGGAGGCCGGCCAGGCATAGTGGCTCATACCTGTAATCCCAGCACTTTGGGAGGCGGAGGAGAGAGGATTGCCTGAAGCTGAGACTGCATCTCTACAATAAATCAAAAAATTAGCTGGACTTGGTGACACGCACCTGTGGTTCCAGCTACTTGGAAAGCTGAGGCGAAAGGATCTCCTGAGCGCAGCAGGCAAGGCCGTGGTGGCTGTGAGCATGACACGTCACTCAGCCTGGGTGACAGAGTGAGACTCTAACTCAAAAAGAAAGAAAGAAATGATGCAAAGAGGGCTCGGTGGCTCAGCCTGTAATCCCGTGCCTTTGGGAAGCTGAGGTGAGTGGATTGCCTGAGCCCGTGGGTTCGAGACCCGCCTGGGCAGCGAGACCTCATCTCTACAATAAATCAAAAAATTAGCGGGGCATGGTAGCACACGCCTGTAATTCCAGCTACACGGAAGGCCTGAGGCGGAAGGATCGCCGGAGCCCAGCAGGTCGGGCTGCGGTGGCCAGGAGCGGCCACTGCACTCCAGTCTGGGCGACAGAGTGAGACTCCAACTAAAAAAAAAAAAAAAAAAAAGAGGACAAAGCCAGGGCATCAGACAGATGTTGCATCCACACAGTCAGAGAAGGACCAGGATGATGTGGAACTAGGGATCGGAGGACAATAAAACAGGGACCCAGGTCCTCATGGAGTGCAGGGAAAGAAATCAAGGGGTGCTTGCAGCAAGGAGGGGAGAAAACGGGGAGTCTGAATTGTTCACAAAGATGTAAGAAAAATGGCCACTAGTGGTAACGAGAGTGAAATAACACTGGCCCTGCTCTCAGACTTATGTGATAGGATCCTGGGGGAGTTGAGAAGAGGGGAGGAGGAGAGGCAAGAAGGAGCCAGAGCAGAAGGAACCTAGGGGCAAGAGACACAGGAAATCCTGAGCACCCACCATGGAGAAGGTGTCGGCCTTTGGCTAGGTGAACAATGGCAGGGACAATAATGTTGGGTGTCTAACCAGCTCATCAGGATCAGGGTCTATTTCTGTATCCCTGGCATAGGAGGACCGAAGCCAGATGCCACTTCTTGCTGGAGGCCCAGAGGTCCAGACAGACGCTGGACAAATGCTGGGTGGAGGCAGGTAGCAGCCTGTGCTCCCAGAGGGTCTGTAGCACCTGCACAGTTCCTCCTTCAGAGAGAAACAGATCTAATCATATCCTTCTTCTGAGCTTAGCATCTACTTGGAATTCTAGTGTTTTTGGTCAGGGTCTCGCTCTGTCATCCAAGCTGGAGTGAGTACAGTGAATCCCAACAATTTGGGAGGCAGAGGCAAGAGGATTGCCTATGTTCAGTGGTTTGAGAACAGCCTGGGCAACTTGGTGACACCTCATCTCTACAATAAATCAAAAAATTAGCCGGGCGTGGTGGTGCACACCTGTGGTTCCAGCTACTTGAAAGGCTGAGGTGGAAGGATCACTTGAGTCCAGCAGGTTGAGGTTGCAGTGGCTGTGAGCGTGCCACTGCACTCCAGCCTGGGAGACAGAGTGAGACTCCAACTCAAAAAAAAAAAACAAAAAAAACACAATTCCTTCAGTCTTGGTCTGCAATATCTCCCCTTCTTGATACTCACCTGAAAAGCCAGGAAGGTATGAGGCTAAGAGGCTGGTACCACAGGAAAAGAGTGGGGGAGAGGGGGAGAAAAGACCCCAGACCTGATTTGCCTGGTGCTTCCCTGCACCACAGATCCATCCGGCAAGTGTGAAGAAATGGAGGTTGGCCTGTTTGGAAAAGTAAATGTTTCAAGGTCCCAAGCACTGAACCCCAAGTCCCTGCAAGCTGCCTCTCGGTACCACTCACTGTGCTGTATCCTGGCTGAAACTCGGATCCCAGGAGGGTGTAAAGAGAGGAGGTGTCAGCCACGCCAGTCAGAGTCCACTTTGTCCACCTCGACCCAGATCCACCCACTCAGCTACATTCCAGAGACAGCTTCTGTCTTTACTTTCACCACCAGTCTTGGTCAAATGTCAGAAAAGAGACCAATGACACACTTCTCAGAAATTGAAATTTTATAAAAAGGCATTTTTCTCTTATAATCATAAAATGATATAATTTTTGCAAGTATAGAAATGTGTCATAAATTATACAGAATGTTCCTTAATTACAGCTCAATGCAACTTGGTACTTTCCTCCCTCCCTAAAAAACGAGAGAGAACCAAAAAAATAATATATATATAACTGTATATATATATCTATATATATATATTTATATAATATAGACAAATCAAATATGAAAAAAAAATCATTTCCTCTTTGGTATAAAAATCAGACTCTCACCTTGAGAGACACACAAACAGACATGATATTGGGTTTGTAAACTGTGGCCAAAAGGGACTTCCCTGTCAATACTTCCCTTCCTCCGTCCCCTGCCCACCCACCCCACCTCACTGCAGCCCACCCCAGCTCCCCACACCCCTCTCCCCCTCGCCCACTGCCAAAGAAGACCAAAGGAGTCTTCCCAACCATGATTAGGCAGCAACCGGCTTGGGAAATGCCTCATTTGGGAACAGCCTCACAATGTGGACAACGGGGAAGATGGACTGTGAGAGGCCCGACTGAGCCCTGGTCAGACCAAGCCAGACACTGGGCAGACAGGGTCCTGGCCTGAGCCCAGCTTGACCTCCTCCTCTGCCTCCTCCACCCGGTGCAGGGACTCCACCACCTCATGCCAGACCCTGGGCCTGGAGAGGCAGGGCCCCTTGTTCATGGGAGGAGAGAATAAGTAGCCAGCCTCCCCTTTCACCCTCCTCCCAGGGCGCTCAGCTTCCCCTTGTAGTCCCATCTCTGGGTCCTGGGGCACAGGTGCAAGAAAGCACCAGACAAGGAAGGAACAGGCAAGTCAAAGGGCGTCTGCTAATCAGCTTGGGTTTACGTTTAAGAGGAAAGAAAACCGCTTGCTTTTTCCCCAGGACCAAATTTCATACCCAGCTTCAGGTCACTGAGAATGACGGGCCACCAGCCCAGGACCAGCAGGACTTCTGGAATCTAGGAATCGGTGTGTGTGTGTGTGTGTGTGTGTGTGTGTAGGGGCAGGGGCAGGGGCAGCACTTCACTCTCAAGGTGAGGAAGGAGACAGGCCAAACCCTCCCTGATGCTCTCCCTACACCCTCTGGCTGACTGGCACCTCCCTCTCCGGCCAGCCCCTCTGTCCCCAGAGGGAACTGGTCACTGGAGGGAGACCCAGGAGATGTGGTTCCTCCAAACCCATCCGCATTCAGCCAGGCTGGGGTGCCCCAGTGTGTGCCAGCCTCTTCTTCCCAGGAGAGTTAAGACACCAACCACAACAGAAAAGTCACAAGAAGGCCTCCTCCGCTTGCCAAATAAAAAAAGACGAAACCAAACTGGACACAACACAAATCAAGGAGAGACATACACGGTATGAGGGGCCCACAGGCCCCGCAGGTCTCTGGCTTCCCGGCATGATACATTCTTGTGTAATTCAGGAACAAGGGCGCCAGGGCCCCTCTGGGGAGTAGGAGTAGAAAAATACGGAGATTACAGTCTCCCTGCGGGCTCCCAGGCAGGGCAAGGGCAGACCCAATCTCTCACAGTTTTTCCTCGTTTTTGGTTCCACATCTGGTCCCCCACCGGGACTGGTTCCCAATGCCTCCGGCCCCGCTCTGCCCTTGGACCTGTGCCCAGCTGGTGGGAAAGCTTCGGACCTGGGACTCCCCAGCCACTCCCGGTGGGACCAGCAGGACAGAGTCTACCCGGGGAGACAGGAGGTGAGAAGCGAGGACCAGCAGTTCCGAGACGCTATTCCCTCGGTGACCGGCTGGCCCTGCGTGCTCTGGTCACCAGCACCAGGGCGTCCACCCTGGGCTCACCCCTTGAGGGGCTTGTCGGCCCCACTGCTGGGGCTGCTGGCACTGTCACTCTTCTTCCTGCGCAGGCTCTCAATCCAGCTGGAGCTGGAGCGGGTGGTAAAGCTGGAGAGCGCCAGGGAGCTGAGTCGCATGTTTTTGCCAGACATGATGAGCTCCCCGAAGCCCTCCTGGTGGGAGAAGGCATAGCCAGAGCGCCGGGAGCCTGTGCGGCCCACCCGCCGCATGCAGCGGTGCTGAGCTTTCTGCTTCTTCCTCACCAGCTGGGTGTAGCGGACCTGGAGAGGGAAGAGCCCTCTGTCAGTGTGGTGGTGGCGACCCAGAGCGCCCAGGGCTGGGCCAGGCCAGCCTGGGCACCTCTGCAGCTGGCTGCACAGGGTGTCTGTCCCAAGGAGCAGATGTCTGCCATTCACACACCGAGCAGTCACACGGCCCGGAAATGGCCACACCTGGGTTCGAGCGGGAAGCCTTCCCTGCCACACCTTCTCCGCCCCCCAAAGGGGGCAGCCCGGCTGCTCACTGTGTCAGAGAGATCCGGCTTCAGGTTGAGCCTGAGGAATCGGAAGGCAACCACAGGCATGATGCAGACAACCGTGGTGAGCACAATGGTCAGCCACACCGTGGGCTGGGCCAAGGTGTTCTGGGCGTTCCCTGGGGACAGAGAGGAATCGGCAGCCTTGAGGGTCACGAAGCAGACGGAAGGGCAGCCCCTGGCTTCCCCATTCCTGTTTTGAGTAGCTCAGTTTCCCTAGTCTTGACGCGTCCATCCTCTGTGGGTTCTCTCATTTCCTGCCACTCCCTAAATGCAAATCTCCAAATCTAGTTCCAAACTCTCCTCCAAAATTCAGGACCTGCATCCTTAACTGCCTTAACGGACGTCTCTGTTGACATCGAACAGGCATTCAAACTCCACATGGCCAAAAGCAAATGATTGTCTTCTCCACCCCAAACTAGCCTGTGTCTTCGCAGCTCAGGAAATGCCACTACCCACTCAGTTGCTCCGACCAACAACCAGGCAATCGATCTCTACCCATCTCTCTTCCTTGGTCCCCACATCTGATCTGTTGGCTCCATTTTCAAAACATCTCTGGAATGCCCCATCTTTCGCTTGACTCCAAGCCACCATCATCCTCACCCAGTTACTGCTACAGCTTTCTAACCCATTAGAATGGGGCTCCCCATTTCCAGCCCTGCCCCCTACACTTTGTTATCCACAAAACAGTAAAAGCGATCCTTCAGAAACATTAAGTCAGTTTATGAGCCCCATCCCCAAAACCCTCCAGGGGCTTCCTATCCAATTGAGATTAAAATTTAACGTTTGGTTGGGCGCAGTGGCTCATGCCTATAATCCCAGCACTTTGGGAAGACAAGGTAAGAGGGTTCAAGATCGGACTCAGCAACATGGCGAGACCTCGTCTCTACAATAAAGCAAAAAATTAGCCAGGCATGGTGGCACATGCTTGTGGTTCTAGCTACTTGGAAGGCTGAGGTGGAAGGATTGCCTGAGCTCAGCAGGTCGAGGCTGTGAACATGCCACTGCACTCCAGCCTGGGCAGCAGAATAGGTCTCCAACTAACAAGAAAAAAAAAATCCGACATTCTTGGAAGGCCAAGGGGAAAGAACTGCTTGAGTCCAGGAGTTCAAGACCAGCCTAGGCAACATACCAAGACCTCATCTCTATCCAAAAAAATTAGCTGGGCATGGTGGCACACACCTGTAATCCCAGCCATTTGGGAGGCTAAAGCAGAAGGATCACCTAAACTCAGGAGGTTGAGGCTGCAGTAGTGCTGTGAGTGTGCTGCTACACTCCAGCCTGGGTGACAGAGTAAGACTCTCACCCCAAAAAATAAATAAATAAGACAGACAAAATAAAATTCAACATTCTTACTCTGACCTATAAGGGCTTCAATGGTCTAGATCCACCCTCCCCCCTTCCTCTCCCTCTTTCTTCCAGTCTCCCTTCCTCCTATCCCCAGTTCCTCCCAAGCCCCGCTAGAGGCCTTTGTGTTGCTGTTTCCTCTTCCTGGATTGTTCATTCCCAGGGAGCCACAGGGCTTGCTCCTTTTCCCTTCATTCAGATTTCTCTGTGCCAATGTCCCTTCCTCAGGAGGTGTACACTTGTCACTCTCTGCCTCGCCTGATGCTTCTTGTAGAACTTAAGAGTTCTAGATATGAGCCAGGCTTGGTGGCTCAGCCTATAATCCCGCGCCTTTGGGAGGCTGAGGTGAGTGGATTGCCTGAGCCCGTGGGTTCGAGACCCGCCTGGGCAGGCGAGACCTCATCTCTACAATAAATCAAAAAATTAGCTGGGCGTGGTAGCACGCGCCTGTAGTTCCAACTACTTGGAAGGCTGAGGCGGAAGGATCGCCAGAGCCCGGCAGGTCAAGGCTGCGGTGGCCGGGAGCGGCCACTGCACTCCAGTCTGGGTGACAGAGTGAGACTCCAACTAAAAAAAAAAAAAAAGAGAGAGAGTTCCAGATATTACATCTGTTTGCTCATTTATCTCTCTTATATATAAAGGCCAGGAGGGCAAGTCCTTTGCCTGTTTTGCTCACTGCTGCATTCTGGGCATCAGAATCATGGGTGACACACAGTAGGTGCTCACAGGATGCCCACACAATGAGTGAACAGACAGATCTGAAGCCAATGCCGAGACGTGGCTCATCCCTCCCTGCCAGCCCCGCCCTGCCACCCACCATGGCTGCCCTGGCACCAGCTCCAAACAGCCTCCTCACCTTCAGTCACTACTATGACAGCTTCCTCAGCAGCCATCACCGCCAGTGTTATCTTTTTTTTTGAGTCAGAGTCTCACTGATGCCCAGGCTAGAGTGCAGTGGCACACTCATGGCCACCACAGCCTACACCTGCTGGGTTCAGGTGGTCCTTCCACCACAGCCTTCCAAGTAGCTGGAACCATAGGCATGCACCACCATGCCCAGCTAACTTTTTTTTTTTATTGTAGAGATGAAGTCTTACCATGTTGCTGAGGCTGGTCTCGAACCCCTGAGCTCAGGCAATTCTCTCGTCTCTGCTTCCCAAAGTGCTGGGATTAGAGATGTGAGCCACTGTGCCTAGCCAGCTTTATCTTTATCTTTCTAAAGCAAACTTTTGATGGTTTCTCCTTTTCCACTAAAAATCAGACTCCTGGCAAGTTGAATGCAACCCTGACAGCCTGGCATCCTGACACCTCAAATGCTCACCTCCCCAGCCTCTCCCGCTGCCTCTCCATGGGGGTTCCTGCTCACCCTACCAGAGCACTCCACATTCCCCATTCCCCAGAAACACTGCCAGCCCTCTGACCTGGAATCTCACTCCCCAGTCCTGACTCACAGCGGCCTCACTGGAGCTAACACCAGCCATCCCACTGCCAGTGAAATGCTCGCCACCCCCTGACCTCCATGGAGTCCTGGCCTCCCGTGGCTTGGCAGGACTGTTTACTTTCATAGATACAGAGGCTCCCTCAGGGCAGGGCCTGGGTCAGACACACCTTGACATCCCCACAGCACATTACAGAACATTCAACACATAGAGTATTAAATAAACACTCAATGTGCAGACTGACCGACCACCCTGTCAGTCCCAGGAGAGCTGCCATTCCTCATTGATCTCAGAGGAGGCCAGAGGGACTTACCCACAAACCGGAACTGGTTCGGAAACATATCAAAGAGCCCATTGCTGTGCATGGCAAAGAGGATGGCAAAGTAGACAGCCAGGCTGCCCCAGATGAAGAAGTGGTTGATAGCCGTCCAGTAGCCTGTGTCTAGACCAATCTGCAAAAAAACAGGTGTAGTCAGGCAGAGAGGTACCCCTAAAACCCCAGACAAGCCAGGCTCGGTGGCTCAGTCTGTAATCCCACACCTTTGGGAGGCTGAGGTGAGTGGACTGCCTGACCCCGCGGGTTCGAGACCCGCCTGGGCAACTTGGCGAGACCTCATCTCTACAATAAATCAAAAAACAGCCGGGCGTGGTAGCGCGCGCCTGTAATTCTGGCTACTGGGAAGGCTGAGGCGGAAGGATCGCCGGAGCCTAGCAAGTCGAGGCTGCAGTGGCCGGGAGCGGCCACTGCACTCCAGTCTGGGCGACAGAGTGAGACTCCAACTCAAAAAAAAAAAAAAAACCCCAGACGCCCTCTCTGAAAGAGAACTGTGGTGCCCAGGGCAGCCCCGGGGACAGGAGGCTCACGCCTTCCAGAGAATGGGGGCGTTCCCAGACTGCCTCATACCTGCACGCTAACCACGATGACCAGTGATGTGGCCACAGTGACTGCAAAGGACTGGTAGTCGGCCAGCTGGGTGCCATCATCCCGGGTGGCCTCGGCAAACACCCCATAGGGAATGAAGAACATAAGCACAGAGGTGTAGATGCCCTGCGCGATGCAGATGAAGAACTCCCGCTTGTTGAAGAGAAGGTTCAACTGGCCAGGCTCGTACAGCTTAGGGTACTCCATGCTCCGCTGCTCAGGGACATCCTGCATGGGAGGGCCACAGGGACCAGGAGGTCTCAGAAGCTGCCGTCTTAACTTAGGATGGCCAAGGGCAGACTCTGTCTCTGCCTTCTTCTTTCCAAAGTCTTTGGCAGCTACGACCAACCTCAAGCCAACTGCCCCCAATCAATCTTTGTTCAGCAACCCAGGGGAATCACAGACCAGCGGCAGCGGAGAGGGAGAAGCAGTCACACCCACCCCAGCTGAAAAAATTGCCTTCCCAGGGACCACAGGCAGTGGGCACGAATGTCATACCTGCCATATAAGTGTAACACCTCCAAGCAGTATCCTTCCCCCCAATCATCGAACTCCCCCATACCTGATCAAAGACCCCCATAGCCAAGACTGGGAGAGAGGTGTACACGATGTTATACAGGGTGATGAAATACTGATCATAGACGGTCTGGAAGAAAACCAGGAATGAGAGCAGAATCAGTCTGCAAGCTTTCTTTGCTACAAATAAAGCTCAGGAAAACAGCTGATGCTATATACAGGCAACCCCAAGACACTGTCTTGAGCTCCCTTGGCACTCCATCAACAAGTTTTTTTTTTTTTAAGTCAGAGTCTCACTCTGTCGCCCAGAATGGAGTGCAGTGGCATGCTCACAGTCACCCCAGCATCAACCTGTTGGCTCAGGCAATCCTTCCACCTCAGTCTTCCAAGTAACTAGAACTACAGGTGCCTGCCAACACACCATGCTAATTTTCTTTATTTATTGTAGAGGTGAAGTCTTGCCAAGTTGCCCAGGCTGGTCTCAAACCCACGGACTCAGGCAATCGTCTCACCTCAGCCTCCCAAAGTGCTGGGACTACAGGCGTGAGCCACCACACCCGGCCTCAACAAGCATTTTTTTTTTTTTTTGAGTTGGATTCTCACTCTGTCACCCAGCAGAGTGAGAACAGTGGCACACTCACAGTCACCACAGCCTCGACCTGCCTGGGTTCAGGTGAGCCTTCTGCCTCAACCTTCCAAGTAGCTGGAACTACAGGTACGTGCCACCATGCCTGGCTAATTTTTTGGTTTACTGTAGAGATGAGGTCTCACCAAGTTGCCCAGGCTGGTCTCAAACCTGTGGGCTCAGCTCAGCTTCTCAAAGTGCTAGGATTACAGGCGTGAGCCACCATGCCCGACCAATAAGCATTTTTAAATGTATATACCAAGCTGGGCATGATGGTAGATACAGTATTCTGGGAGGCCAAGACAAGAGAACTGATTAAGCTCAGGAGTGTGAGACCAGACTAAGCAACATAGCAAGACCCTGTCTCTACAAAGAAATAAAAAAAGTAGCTGGACGTGGTGGCATGGGCCAGTACTCCCAGCTACTCAGGAGGCTGAGGCAGGAGGGTCACCTGAGCCCAGGAGATCAAGGCTGTAGTGAGCTGTGATCGTGCCACTGTACTCCAGCCTGAACAACAGAGTCAATACATTATAAAATACATAAATAAAATAAAATGTATATACCAGACAATAGCTAGGCCCTGGGAGACTGAGTGATGAACAAGACAGATAACAACCTCTGCCCTGAAGGAGTTTATAGATTGTCAGCACAGCGGACTGGGAAGGCTAACTACCTGGGCCGAGAAGCCGCAGAAGAAACCAAACCAGAAGTGGACCATGGTGAAAGCAAAGTTCTTGTAGAAAAAATAGCAGAGGAACTTGCACATGCGCAGGTAGGACCAGCGCCCATGCACCAGCAGGAGGCGCTGCAGGAACTTGAACTGGGAAAAGGAGTAGTCGGAGGCCAGGACAGCCTGGATCCCTTCCTGTCCACTGATGCCCACACCAATGTGAGCCGCTGCAGAGATAAGAGACGACAAGGTAAGGATGGCCACACACCCTCGATCTCACCAAGTTACAGCCCCCCCCATCATTCTACTCTGGTCCAGAGACCTCAGCGGGTGCCCTCCCCATACTAGCACCCAGCCTCCACTCCTGCAGAGTCCACACTCACTTTTGATCATGCTGACATCATTGGCTCCATCCCCAATAGCAAGTGTCACAGCCTTCTTGTACTTCTTAACCAGTTCCACCACCTGTGCCTTCTGCAAGGGGGTCACTCGGCAGCAGATGACAGCTTTGCAGGCACACGCCGTCTCCAGAAACTCCAACTCCATGTCTGCCTCCAGCGCGTGAGCCTGGAACACAGAGACCTGAGAAAGCCACAGTCTTCCCAGAAAACACCTGGAGTCTCCACCCTTCCCAGGTCCCTTTGAGATCACACCCACCCACTGAAGCCAGGAAAAATGAGAACAGGATGAAGCACAAAATCTGATGGAAGGCTGGGCATGGTGGTTCCCACCTGTAATCCCAGTGCCTTGGGAGGTCAAGGTAGGAGAACTGTTTGGGCCCAGAAGTTTGAGACCAGCCTGGGCAACAAAGTGAGACCTTATCTTTACAAAAAAAATAAAATTAAAAAATGAGCCAGGCATGGTGGCACATGCCCATAGTCCCAGCGACTCAGAAGGCCTAGGCAGGAGCATTGCCTAAGCTCAGGAGGTGGACGCTGAGTGGGCCATGATCATGCCATTGCACTCCAGCCTGGGTGACAGAGTGAGACTCTCACTAATAAATAAATAAACAGCCTGGCATGGTGGCTTACGCCTACAATCCCAGCACTTTGGGAGGCCAAGGTGAGAAGATTGCCTGAGCCCACGGGTTCGAGACCAGCCTGGGCAACTTGACAAGACAATAAATCAAAAAACTACAATAAATCAAAAAATTAGCGAGGCATGGTTGTGCGTGCCTATAGTTCCAGTTATTTGGAAGGCTGAGGTGGAAGGATCACCTGAGCCCAGCAGATCAACGTTGGGGTGGCTGGGAGTGTGCCACTGCACTCCAGCCTGGGCGACAGAGTGAGACTCCAACTCAAAAAATAAACAAACAAACAAAAGCTATAGGAGACAAATGCTGCTTGGCAAGACACCACCCTGGCTAAAGACAGCGACACTTACCAGGCTGTGACCATTGATGACCAGGGCGTACTCCCCAGCGACAGCTTCCAGGACAGAAGTGAGCTTGGAAGAAGACAGTTTCTCCTGGTAGGTAAAGCCGTTGCCTACCGCACGAGATGAGTCCATCATCTTCTCCCGGGCTTTCCTATGAGGGTGGAGATAAGATGGCAGTGGTTGTCCAGGACAGCTGTGAGCAGAAGGGACTCCAGCCTAAACAGGGTACAAAAGTCCCCGCCCAGCCCCTGGCACAGTGCAGAGCCTCTCCCTTGGTCCTCCTATATACCTGAGCTCCTCGCGCACCTCCAGGACGGTATGGCCGGTGACCATGAACACCTCTGTCATGTCGTCCGTCAGCATCTTGCAGGAATAGCCAATGTTCACGGCTGTCTCTACCAAGAGATAACGCAGGAGCTACGGACAGGTACCCAACAAGGTCAGACTCTCTCCTGCCTGGCATCCTTGGCTCCATGCAAGAGTCCAACAGGCGACTGTCCAGAGGCAATCCCTCTGCGCTGCTGGCTCTCACCTTGTTTGTCTCCGGTGAGCACCCAAATCTTGATGTTGGCCAGCGTCAGGAGGGCAATGGTCTCAGGAACCCCTTGCTGAAGTTTGTCCTCGATGGCCGTCGCACCCAGCAGCTGGAATACCACAAGCGTCAAGGATCCCTGACGTGAGAATCACAGGCAAGAGTCCTCTCTGCCCACCCCGGCCCGTTCTGCAGCCTGTACCATCATGTCGCTCTCAACTTCCTCGTAGATGTTGGCCAGCCTGTCCTCCCGGCTGTCCTGGGCCAGGCTGGCTTGGAGGCGGCGCTCAGCCCACTCCTCGTAGTACTCCTCATCCAGATCCTTGTAGGCCAGGACCAGAGTCCGCAGCCCCTCCCCTGCGTACTCCTGGAGGCAGATTCAGGAAAGCCACACCCAAATTAAGCCAAGAGAACTCATATACAGCACAAGGACAGCAATGAACAGTGTTGTACTGTCCAGTGGAAATCCTCTAATTCTAGAAGGTCTCAGAACACACACACAAAAGAGGCAGCTATGTGACATGGATGTGCGTTAATTTTCCTAAATGTAGTGACCACTTCACTGTGTGTATATGTACACTGAAACATCATATTGTATACCTTAGATCTTGTTTTGTTTTGTTTTGAGTCGGAGTCTCACTCTGTCACCCAGGCTGGAATGCAATAGCATGCTCACAGCCACTGCAGCCTCGGCCTACTGGGCTCAGCTGACCCTTCTGCCTCAGTCTTCCAAGTAGCTGGAACTACAGGCATGTGCCACCACACCCAGCTAATTTTTTGATTTATTGTAGAGATGAGGTCTTGCCAAGCTGCCCAGGCTGATCTCAAACCCATGGGCTCAGGCAATCCTCTCACTTCGGCCTCTCAAAGTGCCTGGTATTATAGGTGTGAGTCACTGCGTCCAGCTGAATTTTTTTTTTTTCCCTGAGTTGGAGCCTTACGCTATTGCCCAAGCTGGAGTGCAGAGGCACGGCCAGGGCTCACTGCAGCCTTAACTTCCTGGGCCCAGGCAATCCTTCAACCTCAGCCTCCTGAGTAGCTGGAACTACAGGTGCATACCACCACACTCAGCTAATTTTTTTTTTTTTGTATATATTAGTTCTTTTTTTGTTGTTGTTGTTAAGGGTCTCACTCTGTCACCCAGGCTGGAGTGCAGTAGCACACTCACGGCCACCCCAGCATAGACCTGCTGGGCTCCGGTGACCCTTCTGCCTCAGCCTTCCAAGTAGCTGGAACTATAGGCACGCACTACCATGCCCAGTTAATTTTTAATTTATTGTAGAGATGAGGTCTTGCCAACTTGCCCGGACTGGTCTCAAATGCGCAGGCTCAAGCAATCCACTCGCTTTGGCCTCCCAAAGTGCTGGGATGACAGGCTGAGCCACCAAGCCCGGCCTATATATGAGTTCTTACTACATTGCCCAGGCTAGTCTTGAACTCTTGGCTCAAACAATCCTCTTACCTCGGCCTCCCAAAGCGCTGGGATTACAGATGAGCCACCACGCCCAGTCCTGTATACCTTAAATTTATACAATAAACCAAAACAAACAAACCCTACCCTCACAACCCTGAGAGCAGCAGCCGGCCCCTCCCATCTTCACACCTACATTGAGGTGGTCCATGGTAGTGTGGAGCAGTTCTTGGGTGGAGTGGTGGAGTCTGTCCAGCAGGATGGTGTCAGCCCCTTTGCAGTAGAGTCGGATCTTTCCCTCTGGATTCCTCACTATGAAGGGGACAGGGGGAGAAAGTGCCAGAAAAATTCAGGGAGGGAAGACCTCCAACCCGCACACATTGACAAGAGCTACCCGGCACAACTCATCCACTCCAGGCCCATATGCTGACCCCCAGCACCCGGCCCTGGCCTCACCTATGACTGACATTCGCTTGCGGATATTGTTGAAGTCCAGGATGGCCAGCAGCTGGTAGGTGATGGCGGTGCCCATCTCGTGCACGGTGATTGTTTTGGGAGTACGAGAGCGGAATACAAAACCAAAGTTCCTGGCTGCAGTGACCAGGGCGCCCTCGTCTGGGGACTGAGCTTTGTAGTACAGCTCTCCTGGGTAAGAGGAAGAACACATGCAGTGTTTAAGTGGCCGCCCTCCCAACCACGCGCCCCACCCAGGAAGCCTCAGCCAGCCGCAGAGTAGGCAGAGCCCAAGGACACCAGTCAGACCACGGGAGAGCACAAGTCAGCTCCCAGGCTCACCTTCATTCTTTTCTTCTGACATGACAGTATGACACAGGGAAAGGAGACGGAAGAACTCGTGTGTGTGGGGGTCCCCCATCTTGACAGCCTCCAAGAGGCTAGGGTCCCAAAATAAGAACTTCTTGTCGGCCAGGGGATTGAAGGAAAAGTTGACAGGCTCAGGCCTCTGGAACAGGTAAGAAGGCTCTTAGGAAAGGCTGGGTTGCCAGGCTGCATCCCAGGTAAGGGGCCGTCCCTGCCCTCCCAACTCTCAGCGGGACCTCGCAAAGTCCTGTCCACCACGGTTCTCAAAGTTGCCACTTCTGCCACCAGTTATTCCTTAAAACAACCATTTCTCCAAGCAACTTCCACTTCCTGCCCAGACAATGCACCACTCCTGACTGCACCCACTGCCTTCCAGTCTGGCCCGTTTCACTGGCACACAGGCTTATGGGCACTGGATCTTACCTCTCCTAACTCCGCTTTGTGCCCCAGGACATCGAACACATCACCTGAACACAGCAAGACAGAGAAAGAGGCAACGTCAGAACTGGAGGTCTCCAGAACAGCAGGGGGAGAACAGCAGGGAGAGGCTTCCAGTGCAGAACCCTGCAGGCACCTGAGACCCGAGACCCAAATGGGTGAACCCATGTCACACTTGCTCACTGCGGACTTGAGGGATAGGAGGCAGCAGGCGCCTTGGATCCCAACACCCTCGGACCCTGGCCATGACAGAGCCATGGTATCCACTATTCCCCACCTCGCACCACCCCCCAGCACCCTTCCTTCAGGGCACTTCCAATCCTCCTCGTCTCCCACCCAAGACTCCCAGGCATCCCACACCCATTAGGCCTGTGCAGCAGACAAGCCACACGCCAGCCACAGGTATAGGTTAGTACAAAAGCAGTCACAGGTGGGGCTCACGCTGTGCACACAATTCAGCCCACACGCTGCCCCAGGCCATCCCGGCAGTTCAGCCACAGGCCACTGCAGCAGGCCACACTGGCAAGACCATGGCCACATTCCTGAGACTCACAATGGGCCCCAGTGGTGACAGGGAAGACTCTAGACTCAGCTGGGGCAGCCAAGGTCCCATCTGGCCAGGATGCCCAGAGGCTTGTGTTTTGGGCTTCACTTCAAACAGCCAAAGTGTTTCCCTACAGCCTAAAGCTGAGACCAGCATGAGGCTTCAGGGGAGGAGGGCAAGGGGAGGACTCTCAGTAGCTGCTTCCTGACACAGGATACAGAATGGACCCTTTCGAGGTCCCTAAGACCCAAGTAGGAAGAAAAACCCAATGTCAAGGCAAACGTGGAAGCCCCAGTTCTCCCAGGCGAGATACAGGCCCCCAGGCCCCGGTGGCACCGCCATACCATAGCTGTGGCCATTGATGGAGCACTTGTTGAAGACCATGATGTTCTGTGTGAGGGTGCCCGTCTTATCGGAGAAGATGTACTCCACCTGGCCCAGCTCCTCATTCAGGGTGGTGGTGCGGGCCTCCGCCGGCGTCCGCTTCTTCATGCAGAACATCTTCTTGTCCCAGTTGATGAAGTAGCTGTGGCCCAGACGGATGACCTCCACACTGCACAAGGGACAGGAGGTGAGACCCAGGTCGAGGAGGGGAGGAGGCGCCCCACCCCCACGGGCCTTGGCTGCAGGCCCTCTGCCTGGGGAGAGACGAGAACGGAGAAGACATCTGGGCACCTGGGTGGGCAAGGGCAAGGGCAAGGAGAGCCTGATGGTGGAGAAAGGAACCCCCGACCCCGACACTCTCCAGACAAAGAGGTGCAAGGGCCTGGGCAGGAAGGATGGACGGCACGGGTGCAGGAGGAAGAGGGACTGTGGACAAGGCACTCAGCCAGCTCTTACCTCAGGACTAAAATACAGAAACCATGCAGAGAAAAACAAGAGAAAGTGCGAGAGGGAAGGGAGAGAGAAAAAAAGAGAGAGAAATAATGAGGGTGCTGTACACGCCACAGCAACCCAGACTTCCCCCTCAAAGAGGGGCCATGCTGGGCAAGACAGTAGACAAGGCCTGAAGCCCACTCCTTGCTGCCCCAGCACCAGCAGGGCACACCCCCAACCCAGGGCACCGGCACCACACCCTAACTGCTTCAGAAAGAGCCCAAGGCAAAGCTGAGGAGGGACCCTGAGGATCTGGGGTGATCCCAGTTGACAGTGGCTCGGTACTGTAACATCTCCAGGTCACAGCCTCTTCTTGGCTAATCAGTGCCTCCGGGACACCAGCTGTTAACATTCCAGAAAGGACCCTGTGTTTAGCCCCAGTGCAGCTGAGCAAGGGGGCCGTATCTGGATCCCTGTTTCCATCCTGACTGAGACTCCTATCAGGATTCCACTACCAGGCAAAAAATGAGATAGCTGGAAAGGTCCTCAGAGCTTTTTCTATACTGGTTCATCAACCTCCCCTCTCGGCCACCCCCAAACGTATATTCTGCAACCAGGTGAGACTCGGAAAACTATCTTAGGCAGTGACCAAAGGCTTTGGGGAAACTTAGATACATAATGTAGACAGCAAAGCCCATAAATAGTAAAGCAAAATTAGGCTGTAAGCAAAACACATTTAAATAGTAATGAGGAGGCTGGGCTTGGTGGCTCAGCCTGTAATCCCAGCCTGAGGCCGAGGGGAGGCTGAGGGGAGTGGATTGCTTGAGCCTGTGGGTTCGAGACCAGCCCGGGAAACATGGCAAGACTTCGTCTGTACAAAAAAAAGACCCGCCTGGGCAGCGAGACCTCATCTCTACGATAAATAAAAAAATCAGCCAGGCGTGGTAGCGCATGCCTGTAATTCTGGCTACTTGGAAGGCTGAGGCGGAAGGATCACTGGAGCCTGGGCAACAAAGTGAGACTCCCACTCAAAAAAAAAAAAAAAAAAAGCCGGGAGCAGTGGCTCATGCCTATAATCCCAGCATTTTGGGAGGCCAAGGTGAGAGGATTGCCTGAGCCCACGGGTTTGAGACCAACGTAGGCAACTTGGTGAGACCTCATCTCTACAATAAATCAAAAAAATTAGCTGGGCATGGTGGCACACGCCTGTATTTCCAACTACTTGGAAGGCTGAGGTGGAAGAATCGCTTGAGCCCAGTAGGTCGAGGCTCCGGTGGCCATGAGCATGCCACTGCACTCTAGTCTGGGCAACAGAGTGAGACTCCAACTCAAAAAATAATAATAATAATTAGCTGGAAGCCGGGCTCAGTGGCTCAGCCAGTAATCCTGTGCCTTTGGGAGGCTGAGGTGAGTGGACTGCCTGAGCCCGCGGGTTCGAGACCCGCCTGGGCAACTTGGCGAGACCTCATCTCTACAATAAATCAAAATGAGCCGGGTGTGGTAGCGTGTGCCTGTAGTTCCAGCTACTTGGAAGGCTGAGGCGGAAGGATCGCCAGAGCCCAGCAGGTCGAGGCTGCGGTGGCCGGGAGCGGCTACTACACTCCAGTCTGGGTGACAGAGTGAGACTCCAATTCAAATAATAATAATAATAATAATTAGCTGGGCATGGTAGCACACACTTGTAGTTCTGGCTACTTGGAAGGTTGAGATGGAAGGATAGCTGGAACCCAGCAGGTTGACGCTGAAGTAGCCATGAGCGTGCCACTGCACCCCAGCCTGGGTGACGGAGTGAGACTCCAACTCAAATAGATAAATAAATAAGTAAATAGCAATGAGGGTCTAGAGCTACAATGATAATGATGAGCATGCTACCACCCAATATGTGTACAGTAACTTAATTTTCAAACTACAGCCAGGCATGTGTCTCACACCTGCAATTCCAGCACTTTGGGAGGTCAAGGCAGGAAAATAACTTGAGCCCAGGAGTTCAAGACCAGCCTGGGCAACATAGTAAGACCTCATCTCTACAAAAAAATAAAAAAAATTAGCCAAGCATGGTGGCACGTGCCTGTAATCCCAGCTATTCAGGATGCTGAGGTGGAAGGATCACTTGAGCCCAGTAGGTCAAGGCTGTGGTGGCCATGAGTGTGCCACTGCACTCCAGCCTGGGTAACAGAGTGAGACTGGGCAACAGAGTAAGGCTCCAACAACAACAACAAAAAATTAGGCGGGCATGGTGGCGTGTGCCTGTAGTCCCAGCTATTCAGGATGCTGAGGTAGAAGGATTGCCTGAGCCCCGGAGGTCAAGGCTCCCATGAGCTATGATTATCATGATCACGCCACTGCACTCCATCCTGGGCAACAAAGTGAGACCTCAACTCAAAAATAATAATAATAAGATAAAATATATTTTCCATTCCAGCATCTTATATCAAGACATCCCAGCTGGGCATGGTGGCTCACACCTGTAATCCCAGCACTTTGGAAGGTCGAGGTGAGAGAATAGCTTGAGCCCAGAAGTTCGAGACCAGCCTGGGCAACATGATGAGAACTCATCTCTACAAAACAAAAAATCAAAAGAATAAGCCAGGGTAGTGACACATGCCCGTAGTCCCAGCTACTCAGGAGGCTGAAGTGGAAGGACTGTCTGAGCCCAGGAGGTTGAGGCTGCAGTGAGCTGCGATCATGCCACTGTACTCCAGCCTGGGTGACAGAGTGAGACCCTGACTCAAAAATTAATAAATACATTCATACATAAATGAGTAAAAATCTGTATGTATTAAGATGTCCCTAAAAAGAAGATAAAACAGGTCTTATTGTTCCTATGTTACTGAGAAAACGGAAATCACATGAAGCCTCAGCGACTGGATTTGCCCAAGGTCATGGCCAGTGAGCAGGCAGGACTAAAGCAAAAACCTTCTGACTCTCCTCTCTGTGCCCTGAAAGAGCTCAAACTGTCCTCCCTCACACAGAAACACTTCACTTTCTATACACTATGGTCAGCAGTAGCATTTGGGGCAAGTGGGGAAGGCTTTTGGGGAATCTGTGTGAATAAAAGATAGAAGACGGGAAGAGTTCCGAGCACCTCCACAAAACACTTCCTAAGAAATGCCACAGGCTCCCTCATCTCAGGTGCAGGGCACTCAGTAAGAAAGAGACTTTCTCCTGGCCATTCTTCCTTCCTCCACTTCTTTCTGCCTCCCCTTTCTGATGCCTGCTAATGTTCCCTTTACCTCAAACATTCTAGATTTATGTTGCACACTACTTCCAGCCAACACTTCCTAATGCATTCTTTAGATTTTTTTAATTGTTTTTTTGTTTTTTTTTTTTGAGTTGGAGTCTCACTCTGTCGCCCAGACTGGAGTGCAGTGGCCGCTCCCGGCCACCGCAGCCTCGACCTGCTGGGCTCCAGCGATCCTTCCACCTCAGCCTTCCAAGGAGCTGGAACTACAGGCACGCGCTACCATGCCCGGCTAATTTTTGATTGATTGTAGAGATGAGGTCTCGCTGCCCAGGCGGGTCTCGAACTCACGGGCTCAGGCATTCCACTCACCTCAGCCTCCCAAAGGCGCGGGATTATAGGCTGAGCCACCGAGCCTGGCTCCGGCTGATTTTTTTAACTGTTTGAGTCAGAGTCTCACTTTGTCACGCAGGCTGGAGTACAGTGGCACAATCACAGTTAACTGCAGCCTCAATCACCTGGGCTCAGGCAATCCCTGCACCTCAGCCTCTCAAGTAGCTGGGACTATGGGTACGTGCCACCACACTCAGCTAATTTTTAAAAAAAATTTTGTAGAGACGAGTTCTCACTATATTGCCCAGACTGGTCTCAAACTCCTGGACTCAAGCAGTCCTCCTGCCTCGGCCTCCCAAAGTGCTGCGATTATGCACGAGCCACCGTGCCTTGTCTAGATTTTTTTTTTAATGCATTTTTTTTTCTTTTTCCTTTTTAGGTGGTGGGGGGTGTTCCGGTCAAAACCAGAAAACCTGTTAGACAAACTCTAAAACAGTTACAACACTTAGAATGCATTTTTAGAACACATTCTTTCAATGTTTTCCAAAAACCTTTAATGGTTTACTAAGTACAAAGTCCACAGGCAAAGATTCAAGGGCCTCCACAAGCTGGAGCAAGCTGTTTCCACTCTTCCTCCCACACCCCTCACCAGGCCCAGACCCTCACCCAACTGTTCCATAAGCCACTCCCAGGTTCCCAACCCAGTCCCTCTCCCCTTCCTGTCCTTTGCGGCTCCACCCTCACCCATCCCAGTCACCACTGAAAGCCCAGAGCAACTGCCACCTCTACAAAGATGTCCTCCCTGATTGACTGCCAGAAGCAACACTCTTCCAGTCCTCCTGACACTCTGCGCCTCCCACGTGGTTATCTCGATCTGCCACTGTTCAGCTCTCCCCTCCTAGACCCGTGTGCTGCTTCTGAAGGCAGAGACCACCTCACAAGTCTGTGTCCCTTTATTTCACACAGAAGACTCCAGGTAGAGTTCTACAGCACTTGTTTCTGTTTTGTTTTTTTTTTATTGGAGTCTCACTCTGTCACCCAGGCTGGAGTGCAGTGGCACGCTCATGGCCACCGCAGCTTCAACCTGATGGCTCAGGAGATCCTTCCGCCTCAAACATCCAATTAGCTGGAACTACAGGCGTGCACCACCAGGCCCGTTTAATTTTTTCATTTATTGTAGAGATGAGGTCTCATCAAGTTGCCCAGCTTGGTCTCAAACCCATGAGTTCAGGCAATCCTCTTACCTTGGCCTCCCAAAGTGCTGGGATTATAGGTGTGAGCCACCACACCTGGCCTCTATTTTGTTTTTAATGTGTTTTGATTTTTCTTCCTCAACATAGGTGGCAACACAGCAACACCTCATCTCTACAAAAAAAAAAAAAAAAAACGAATGCCATGTCTGAGTCCAGGAAATGAAGGCTGCAGTGAGCTGTGATCGTGCCATTGCACTGCAGCCTGGGTGACAGAGTGAGACCTCCAACATCCTGCACACTTCTTTGCAAACAGTAGGCATGCAATAAATATGTGCTGAATAAATCAGTATGGCTTTTGCTCTAATGTAGTCTCACGTGCCAAGAAACTGTGGTTAAAAAGTTACCCTGGGGGGGGAGGGGGATGGAATTAACAGTAGCAAGTATCCGTCTGGAGATGGGAAAACACCTCTTATCAACAGGGTGCCTGAATGAAACGTAATTGTACACCTAACCCTTAACTGTACCCCACAAAACCATAATAAAAAATATTGATTAATTAAAAAAAAAAAAAGTTACTCTGCACACAAAGATAAACAGATAACATAAAATGTTCACAATCCAGGAAGAAGCAGACTTTAAGCTCCTTCTCAAGGATTTTATTTTCAGAGAAAAGTTTTTTTTTCTTTTTTTGAGTCAGAGTCTTACTCTGTCACCCAGGCTGGAGTACAGTGGCACACTCACAGCCACCGCAGCCTCAACCTGCTGGGCTCAGGCAATCCTTTCACCTCAGCCTTCCAAGTAGATGGAACTACAGGTGTGCGCCACCACGCCCGGCTAATTTTTTTTTTTAAATTTATTGTAGAGATGAGGTCTCACCAAGTTGCCCAGGCTGGTCTCAAACCAGTGGGTTCAGACAATCCTCTCACCTTGGCCTCCCAAAGTGCTGAGATTATAAGTGTGAGCCACTGTGCCTGGCCATTTTCATAGAAGAAGTTTTCTAAGGGACCACCTGGGCTCCCTGGTAGGCCCCAGGGGCAGAGAAAGCACGTACCTGACATACAGCGAAATGGGCACGACGGTATTAAGGATGATGATGTAAGACCAGAAGGAGAGGAAGCCAGAGAAAAAGGCACTGTCTACCGCCTCGTCCCAGGGCAGGTAGACCTGGAAGCGCATCCCAACTTCGTGCTCCCAGATGGCATTGCCAATGGCCAGGATCACCCCCATGCAGACCAGGAATCCGAAAATCTGGGGAAGAATGAGAAGCTGAGGCTGGGCTGACACTAAGGAAGCCCCCAAAACCAAGTACATCCCTGAAGGAAGTCTCCACTCGTACCCTGAGCTCTCAAAAGCTCAGGCATCTTTATTTATTTATTTTAGAGAGGAGGACTCACTATATTGCCCAGGCTGGTGTCAAACTCCTGAGCTTGAGCAATCTTCCCATCTTGGCCTCCCAAAGTGCTAGGATTACAGGTGTAAGCCACGATGCCCAGCCTCGGGAATCTTTAAAATGGCAGCAGCCGGGCACAGAGGCTCACACCTATAATCCCAGCATTTTGGCAGGTGAAGCGGAGAGGATTGTCTGAGCCCAGGGGTTTGAAACCAGTCTAGGCAACTTGGTGAGACCTTGTCTCCACAATAAATCAAAAAATTAGCCAAGGCTGGGCTCGGTGGCTCACAACTCTAATCCCAGCACTTTGGGAGGCCGAGGTGAGAGGACTGCCTGAGCTCAGGGGTTTGAGACCAGCCTGGGCAACTTGGCGAGAACTTATCTCCACAGTAAATAAAAAAATTAGCCGGGCATGGTAGCACACGCCTGTAGTTCCAGCTACTTGGAAGGCTGAG